TATTATGCAGTGAGGATGGCAGTTCTTCTGTTCTTGCAACTCTTGAGTACATTTTTTTTTTTATGACAGAGAACAATCTTTATTTTGTGTCTATACTTTAGGAACCTTGATTTTAAATAAGATTAATGGATGATAGGAAGTGCACAGGAAAACAAACTGCATCTGGCAACTGGCAAGGAGTAAGGACTTGGGACAGAGTACAATATTCAGTAGGACTTAATGTGATAAATAGTTGACTAAAAATTTTGGAACTTGCACCTGCTTGTCTTTTTGTGAATTAAACAAGTAACAAGACATTGTAGACAATTTCTTATGCAGAGGTTGATTTTTGATAATTGCATAATATCTTACTAATGTATTTTAATGGTTGCCTTTAATTGCCATAATTGCAATCCCTGGGTGATATTGTTGAGAAATATTAACACTCTAATAGCAGTACTAGTCCTTTCTTCATCTGTGAAACCATAAGAGGGGATATGTGGTAAGTCGGATGGGATGCAGAGGAAAGATCCAGGCTGACCCTAAAGGCTGTTAGCTGAGAGCAGGAAAGGACCTATGATTTGAAGTAGGTAATAAGCTTAATTAGAGGAACAAGAAGATTTGGTGGTCAGTAGCACTGAAAGGAAAAGAATCTAGTACTTTCTTCTGGAATGGAAAGCAGAGAATTTCCATCCTGAATTGCAAGCTGTATTCTCTTCAGAAGGTACACTGAAGCTTTCAAATGGAGATGTGAAAGCCCGAGGAGAGTTGTGTCTGGTGTGCTCATTTCTTATCTAACCTCATAAGGGCACAAAATGCAGTTACATTAAAAAGAACAGGAATTTCTTAGTGTAATGAGGGGAGTGAAAATCTGTTTATTTTCCAATGAGTTTATTGCAGAGTGATTTGAACACATGAAGAAGTAGAAAACATTCTGACTTCTCGAACTGGAGTGTTTTTAAGTGGTTGTTATTAAACTTTTTTTTTATCACTACATAGTGGGTTTTATTTCTCCATGGACAAAAACACCAACCAACCTTCAGCTATTTCTACTTCTCCGTTCTGTTCAGTGAAGCAGGAAAGTAGAAGGAGACATGATAGTGCTGCGTTACTGTACAAGACTATACTGCCATCGAGAGGTGTTGGATGATATCATAGGAATAGCAGAGTTAAAGAACTGCAAAAATGAAAAAAAAAAGCCAGCTTATTTTTAAAAATTCACGTGTGTGAATGCATAGCTAGCTGACTGTGTGTTAAAGCACATTTAAGGACATGCAGATTTCTAGTTATGTGGGTATGAGGAGTTCTTGGATGACAGAGATATTTTCCTTTTATTTTCTTACTTTAAATCAAACAAGACCATAATTACTTGCGATTAGGTCAAATATTAAATTCTTTCAGAATAATATGGACCCTTTGGAGGCCCTTACAGTTAATTGTCTATGCAGTACCTTTAGGTATCTACTCCTCTAAGTAATTAAAAATTGTAGTTTTATGATAATAACTGAAAACTAATAGATTTGCTTTTACAGTCAGATAATTTGTTTCTTTAAAAAATTATTGGAAGGGTCGAGTCGAGGGTATTCAGGTTTATAACTTCAGTACAGAAAAATTGGTGTCACTGGGAATTGTCTATATGAAACAGTTGATGAAGTTGATTTTTCTGACACTTACTGGAGAAATCATTAAGCTTGAGCAACCTGAGCTTAAATAGTGCTTAATCTGGATCAAAAAAAAAAATAAATCAAATTCTGCCCTTTGGGAGCATATTTCAAAATTTTATAATGAAATACACTTTTAAATGCAAAAGTTAGCAAACAAAAGGCCATAGTCTTCAACTTCTGGCCAAACAGAATGAATGAACAGGCTGATACAATGTGCTGATGATGTTTTGTCTGTTTTTTCCATACCAGTTTATACCAGCACCTTGAACAGACTGCAAACAAATAGATTGATGAGATTTCTTTCATTGCATTCACTATGCAAAAACTCAGAAAGAAGACAGAAACCATGTTATTTTGATTCAAACCACTGACTTTGAGATCAGGGTATCTGGAGACTCTTAAAAGCTGTGTGTGTTTGAGCTGGGGGGATGCACACTGGGCATACAATTAACCTCTCTGCCTCAAAATCCCTTCTTGTAAAACCAGAGTCATTGTACTTTCCTTACAGGAGCACGGGGAGGAAATACATTAATATTTATGAGACACTTGCATACTATGATGATGAATAGCACAATAGGAGTTACCAGTACTAGATAAGCAAGAAATCATTTCATTAGAGAGTATAGTAGCCATCTCCGGTTATCTTCCCCCCCCATTTTGAGAGTGAGGAGCTGCAGTTACCAGCACAGATGCTTAAATAACAGAATGATCAAAGCTCCCCACCAGGCGACTGTACTTGTTACCACTGGAACTGCCTCTGCACAGGCTGATAAACCAGGCTTCCTCTCCATCACAAGGCAGGCAGGTGGTAGAAACCCTCCTGTTGAGACCCTCTGTCAGGTATTGTCTGGCTCACCACATTCAGTTATTCACCGTTTGATTTTTGGAGTATATCTTTGATCAAACTCGGAGATTGTTCAGGGAGTTCTGGGCTAGTACCTGGACATTTTGGAAACTTCACTGGAAATGACCAGTGTCTTTCTTCACACTTGCTGTGAGGGCAGCAAAATTAGTCTTTTTAGTACTGCCTGGTGCATGCAGGTCTCAGTGTTTTTAAAAATTCGAATGCTGAGAGCTTGATTGTATGAGGTGGGTAAATAATGACATCCCCGTTTTTATATAGCAGGCTGAAGCAGAGGAAGTCTTGTATGATTTAGCCAGAGCAGCAAACATCTAATGCTGGAAGTGCCAACACAGCCAGGTTGGACATGCAAACATAAACATTTTTATGTGCTAGCACCTGAAGTAATTCCTGTTTGTTTGTATTCAGAATTTATTTGCCTTTATTCTCTTCTAAAATCAGCGATGTGTTTCTATTTTCTTTTTTAAAATATACCATTCACTTATAAACATTTTTATAGATTTTAAAATTGTTCCATATTTTGGTGCATTAATAGTACTACTGCTATTTAATTTTTTTGTAATCTTTTAAATTTTAATATGGTTTTCCCATAGTGAAAATTAAAGGAACAGTTCTCATGGAGTCATGGCCCAATGAACTGCAAGAGTATCATACTGAGGGAAAGTAGTTTTGTTGTGCTAATAGATCACTTGATATGACTTTTCCAGTAGTGTGATTTTAGAGGATGGCTGTGATGTAACAAACTTGCAAATGAACATTATCTCCTGCAGTTGAGATTATCCTTTTTAAGGGGAAAATGAGTATGTTGGCATGTGGGAATGCTTAATATTTGTAATACCTACACCAAAATATTTATTACATAGGAATATGTAATTCACCAGAGAACCTTTCCAAGATTCTTTTTATTTATTTTGAGAATTTGCAAGATGAGTAGACAAGTAAAAGAAACAATTTTGTGTTTTGAATACTTACTTATTTAATATGTTTCAGTTTAAGTGCAAAACTGAAGGCAGCATATGTGCCAAATAATTTATCAGTCTAATTTCTGATGGCAACAAGAATAGCAGTTTTAAATGTACCAGGATTCTGGTTTGGTAAAAGCAGTTAAATTAAATTATACCAATTTGAAAGTCAAAACCAGTTGAGTTACACAAGAGCATGCTTTTTCTGGTCAAAATAGGAAACATTTGGGATATTTTGGGGGTTATGTAAAGACTTTAATTTGTAACCACACTGTGTATGCTCAGTCTAAGTGGTAGACAAGAGTAGTTGTTCGTGTGATTTGCCATTTCTTCAGCACATCATTTAAACCATATTATTGCATTTATTTTTTATTTTGAATGATAGTTAATCTGAGCTACAGTTAATTCTTTTAACATTTGGATAACTTAAAAAAAGATATGCACATGGTGTTTACATACTAGACATGGCCAGATGCAAGTGTTTTTAAATGCAGCTTATTTCATTTTAGTCATTACCTTCTAGAACAGAACACTTGTTTTATGATGGGGAGGGTGAGTTCGTGTGATTTCAGAACATTAAGAAGAGCATAGCTGTCGGGCCACAGAGTTATGAACTTAGCAGAAGTTAGAATGACACTGTTGAACTTGAGCCAGATGGAGTTTGAATGACTATTTTTGAATACACTTAGGTAACCTTCTCGTTACCTTTTTTCTTGTTGGAAATTTTTAGCTCTGGATCTGTCAGTGTAGCAGAAAGGTTGTGCCCTGTGTGACATATTATGAATGAGACAAAGTTTACAAGAGCTAGTGGCGAGTCCAAAATGCTTGCCACTGTTGTTTAAAAACTGACTTTCAAAATTGATCCCAACAAGCGGAGACTGACACATTAAAAACATTTAGCAGTTCTTCATTAATAGAATCCTTCAGTCTGTGGACCTTCTTTTCTTTAATACCTGGTGCATAAATAATGATGCAGAGCTCAAGATTCTTGAATCAAACAGCACTCAAAGGCATTGAAACTGGTAGTTCAGAGGGTATTTTAAAAAAACACTTGCAGTTCTTGTCTTTGGACCACGTGTTCTTTGTTAAAATTGAAAAAGTTTCTGCCAGATTTCTACTCTTCAATAGTATGTATTCACTTTCTATAGACTGGCATGCACATCACAGTTTCTTTATTAGTTACAAATTTTTCCTTTCACTTCATTACTTGTGTTACAGTGTTCTTGGCTTGTCAGTATTGCATAACTTGGTGTTGGTGAATGTATTATTGTCACAAGAATTGAGCTAATGTCCGTCTGGTATACTGCAGTGTCCTGCAGTGGCTGACCTTCTTCCTCTCTCTTTTTCCTGACCACTCAGCTTGTGGGGGAGTAGGTTTCATAGCTTGGGTGCATTAACTAATACTAAAATTCTTGTCTGCTAATAGCTTAACTGACTGCAGCAGAAATGAAAATGTCCTATTTTGAATGTAATGGGACATACACTAAAAACGATGTTGCAGGTTAATGTATTGATTTCTGCTTTTAATTTCAGGCTGGAGGTTCTCAAGTGATCTTTACCAATCCACTGGAAATTGTCAAGATTCGATTGCAGGTGGCTGGAGAAATTACTACTGGTCCACGAGTTAGTGCCCTCAGTGTATTAAGGGACTTAGGTTTCTTTGGTCTCTACAAGGTATGTTTTTAAAAAATTATAAAAAAGCCTGTCTTCCAAATCAATTTATAATTTCATTGTTCTCACAAACTCTCGTAGGTGTTCACAATTTTACTTTTTAAAAAATTCTTTATTATGTGATAACATTTTTTCATTTCTGACTAAGGGAAGAAACTGTGTCACCTTTTTGAGCATGTGGTTCTTGTGAATCTTACTAAAATTTCTTTGCTCACATCAGTGGGTTTAAGGTTTGTTGAGGATTAGTTTGTGATTCCTGATATTCTCTCTGGTGTAAAAATAAGCTTATTTTCATCTGCTACATGATGATACAGAGCTTACAGTTTTGAAACTGTGCTTTTACTCTTCTGTGTTCGATTCAACAACTTTCCCAGATGTCATCGTTCATTTGGTGGTGGGAATTAATTGCAGCACAATAATAGTGAAGAAACACAGACAGTGGGAGCCCAGCATAAAAATAAACTTCTAAAGCAAGCTTCCCCTTGCTTCTTTAGAAGAATATTGCCACAAATAATATAAGGAAAAGCTGCCATTTTGAGTGTATGCTACAAACACTGCAGTTCTGCTTTCTACGTTACTGTCTTCACATAGATACACAAATATATAGAAGTTAGGTTTAATGACAGCAGCAGGATTAAAACCATCTTCTCTTGAATCTAATAGGATATATCCTGCAAATAATTTAAAGGATTAACATACTTTTATGATGCCTTCTACTTTTAGATGAAGAAGACTAGATATGGGTCTTGAATATGAAAGGTCTTGAAGTCCTCTGAGATAGCCGTTACACACAGTACTGAAACAAAAAATGTAATGAATACCATATACTGCAGAGCACCGTGTGGCATTTCTTCAGGTTCTGCAGTCTGTGACTTGAGAGAAAGCTTTCACTCGACCAATTTGTCCCAGTATTGCCAGTGAAGCAGGCAGTATTCCTGTTTCTTATTTACAGCCGTGCAGCCATAAATTGAAGATGCTTCAAAAGACACCAAATGAGCCCCATCCCCCTCCGCCACAATATTTAAATTCCATGTCCTTTTTTAAGCATCCAGTTCTTTTAAATTGTTCTGTTAACATTACAAAGAGGGAGCCTGCCCGGAGAACATGTATGTATGTTTTGACCTGGAGAGAAGTTGCAGGTCTGAATAGGATTTAATGGGGAGTTGTTTTTCCCTTTAAATTGACTTGCTAATTTTTTAGGTGTTTTACTAAAGCTGAGACTATTGTGTAAACTCCTAGTAAATGGCATTATGATGTTGATTAGGTTAACATTTACAACTGAAAACAGGGATATTGTAAAGAGTCTACTTCCATGAGGTACTGGAATGGAGGTCAGCTACTGACTTTTACTTGGACTAGGAAAAATAAAACATAAAATGGGAAAGAGTGATGAACTAGTTTACTAAATTAGCATTTTTTTTTTCCCCCCTGAATATTGCTCTTGGTGGTTGAGCAGAATTTGCTACATTTTTCAGTAGCATTAATGTCATGGGTCATATCGTGACTTATTTCTGATTTCTAAAGGAGATATTAGTCAGGAATACACATGAACAGGAGCTGGTTGCAGCACTATGTTGCACTGAAACAGACATTTATTTAATCACAAGACACACAGCTTCATTGGTTCATTTATTAAGTCCATTTACCTCCACAAAAAAAAACACAGAAGGATTTGGTTTTGGTTTTGCTCATCTGTGGTCTCTGTTTCTGTCTTTCTCAAGCCCTCCTGAAGCTTATGTCCTTTTGTATGTCCAGTTTGGATTCATTGCCTAGAGTGATTTGACAAAACTAGAGAATTTAACCTCACAATGACAGTCATCCACCCAACAGAGCACAGGCCACGCCAGAAGGCTTGTGTCCAAATGCACCCTCAGTCGCAACTAGGTCTGTAACTAGGCAAGTTTCTGCTGTTGTCCACCAAACACATGGCACTGCAGCCAAAAGGCACTCCTATCTGCCCCCTCTTCTGTAAGCCAGTGAGAGTGCTTGTGCACCCACGTAATGATCTGGAACAAGAAAGTCATTAAAACTGAAGCCTCTTCCTCCTTAAGGCTTGGTTTGTTTCAAACTCAGACCAGATCACTCAGTAGCTTCTCGGGATGGTTGTACCCAGTGAAGGGAGGAATGGCTGTGGCACGGGGAGCCCATCAGTCTTTCTCAGAGGAGTTTTATACTGCCTTGAGGTGCTTGTGGAACAGCAGTGTTAGAGACAAAAGCAACCCTTTCCTGAATGCTTATGCTGGAGCTGGCAGTGCTGGTAAGGCCAGGCAGGAATTAATAACTCATTGCATCAGTCACCAGCCCCAGTTAATGCTACTCAGAGACAACAATTGTCCAAAATGAATTTCAGATGAGACTAGATTTGGTAGATGCTGCCGTCTGTGGTGGTGTTCCTAGTAGATTAATTTACTGAGTATAATGACCAAATGGACATGAAATAATAATAAATGTTCTACTGATGGGAACTGTAATATCTTGATACATTTGGAATGCTCATAATGAGTCAAATTAGCTCTATACTACAGAATAGGAATGAGGATTTTGTGTCTGTCTCCATACCTTTCATTTTGTTCACTCTAACATGAACAACTCTTTCATTTTCACCTGAAATCTTTGCTTTAGCTTTTGTCTTTTGTGTCTCAAGACACAAAGTTTGCATCTCAAGCTCCGAATGTACTTACTTTAGTAGATATAGGTAAGACACCATACCTACTGCTGTGGAAGAAGGAGAATAGATACTTGTTTTGGAAAGCAGTTTTATTTGTGAATCTTGGAGTCTCTTTGTTGGCTTAAAGGGCCTTCATGTAAGTATTGCAAGTGTTTAAACACTTGTCTGTCTAAGCCATGATTTAGACTTACTGATTAACTTTCTTTTGCAAGTGTTGAAAGCAAAATTTTTGACTTTTAATTTCAGAAATTTTTGATTGAAAGAAATGAATGTCCTTTTTTTCCCTCCTCTAAGTTTTGTTTACTGCGTTGCAAGGACTGCAGTGAAAATTTTCTTTTCCCTGTTCAGAGATAAATCATCTTGAAAGCTGTTCTTAGCACCACAGATCAATCTGGCATGCTCTGCTTAGTTCATAGGAATCGTTTATGCTGAAATTCAGGTAAAAATCTGTAATAGTCCCATATAGTAATCACTAAGGAAGTATGTACTTTTGTTAATTGTAAGTGCAACTGGAAGATGCTAAGAATTGGTCTTAGCTTCATGAGACAAATTCCTGCATGTCTCGACGAGATCTACTGCTTGTTGTTTGAATTCCTATATTTTATATGTTTTTCTACCTATGAAGCACATCCAGAAGATTTTAAAATAAAATGCCCCCACACCCCTCATATAGATAATTTCAGTGTTCCTGTCTTGCATTAACAGAGAAAACCAAGCCATTGACAAATAAGCTTTATGTCTCATGTCAAAAAATTAACAAAGGAAATGCTATTTAAACCCTTTTTGCACTCAGCTGAGTGAATCTTGTATTGATTATGATAATAATTATCCCAGCATTCTAGTCCAAATGAATAGCCTTTGAGGATCACTGAGAAGCTCAGTTGCATAATTTTGATGCCCCTCTATAAGAGTGAGATTAATATTGTTTTGGGTCATTCATTGGCATGTTAATGTGATGCTTTACTGTGCTAGTGACAGAAGATAGTTCTCAGTAGTACTGTGCTGAGAACTCTACTCTCTGTCTGCTCTACTTGTAGACTTGATGATAGAACAGTTTATGCTGGAAACCAGTTCTGGTGGTCATTGGGGCAACCTGACCTGGTATTTGACTACCTTCATGGTTTAAAACAAACAAAACCAAAAAACCCTCACCCTTTTTCTAATACCTAATTGAATTGGCGATGTTCAAGCATCTGTCCATTGCCTCTGATCCTTCCACCGTGCACCTCCAAGAGAAGTTTTCTTCCCTGCGCCCTCCCTTTAAGTAGCTGAAGCGAACAATAAGGTCTCTCCCCAGCCTGCTCTTCTCAGAGTTGTGCACACTGAGTTCCTCTTCTTATATACAATGGACTACTCGACTGACTTGATGGGACTGCACTGGGCTCACTCCAGTGTGGCAGTTTCTTTCTCATTTGGGAGAGACCACAACTGGACACAGGACTCCAGATGTGGTCCCAGCAGTGTTGAATGGAGGACCATAATCACTTCCCTTGCATTCTTGCTACTACAGCCCAGGGTATTGCTGTCTGATTTTACTGCGGAGGCATCACTGACCCGTACTCAACTTGGCCACCAGTACCCTCCAGACCTTTTCTCCAAAGATGCTTTCTGGCCACTCAGTGCAGCTGCACAGGGCAGTTCCAATCCAGATGCAGGACTTTGCTGATTTGAACTTCATTATGTTCTTTTCAGCTTATCTCCATCCTGTGAACGTGCCTCTAAATAGCAGCCTCGCCCTATAGCATAGTCATTTTCCTGATTCAGCAACATCTGCTAATATGCTGAGAGTGCAGTTCATGTTCACCGGTTTAACTATGGGATACTATGACGGATCACCTCAAAAGCCTTGCTTTTAGTCAAGGTGTACAACATCCATTGCTGTCGCCTTATCCACAGATCTGGCAAACTGGTTGTTCTGCTGTGATTTGGTAAATCCATATTGGTTGTTCCCAATCTCTCTCTTCTCCTTCATATGCTTGGAAATGGCTTCCATAAATTTGCTCCATAACAATACATTTGCTCCATAAACCTCCCAGGAACAAAGGTGTGCCCCAACAGTTTGTAGTTTTCCAGACCTCCCTTCTTACTCTTCTTCAAGATGGGTGTGATGTTTGTCTGTTCTAGTTATCAGGACCCCCTTGACTGACTTGACCTTTTGAAGGTAATAACAACCTGATGAGGTCATCAACCAGCACCACTGGAGGTATCTAATCTGGTCTCAGGATTAGGTATGTGCAGTGGCTCTAGGTGCTCTGTCTGTAGGTAATGCTATACTCTGCAGATTTTCTGGTAAGCTTGTGGAGCTGAAAGGCCTGGGGACAGATTTTACTAATAA